GGGTGGATAGCTACAAGTGACACCTCAGCTTTGTCAACATGTGTCTTAAAATCCAAGTGATGACTGGTGATTGTTTTAATGTGAAATGAATTTTGAGCATGTCCTTACATTCCCCCTCTTCTCCCCTCCCCTCAAGCTGCTTTCTTAATTGAAAAAAGGCTGTGAAAATATTATCTAAAGATTTAGAGGAAAGATACCCAGAGCTCTTACTCTCCTAAACAACTACATTTATTTTACATCTAATATTTTTATTTTTCATCGCCTGTGTATTAGTGTGATTAAAATAATATTTGGAGTGATTAAAATTAAAGGCAGTTTGTAAATTTTGACATTGACAGATAATGTGTGTGTAGGACTAGTTGTTGGGTCAGGTTGAGTATGAGAAACCTGAGCCAGCTTAAGTCTGGCTGCTTTGTCTAATTGCACAAAAAGTTTATTCAAATTGCCTAAAGTGAGGGGTTAAGATACCTGAAATTTGGTGTGTGTTGACCTTTTTTGGGCTTACAGTCTTTTGGGATGGAAGCCACTAAATATCTAGTATAGTTGCTATGGTAGAGTGTAGGAGTTGGCTGGGAAAGGTCTTTTTCATCACTTCCTGGCTCTGGTGGTGGGGGTGTCAGGACAACAGGCTTTCCCTTAATGGGCTTTAGTAAGGAAAACTGCTCAATCACAGACTACCTTAAGAGCTGGGTTAAAATTATGCAAATGTTTATAATCACATAGGGACATAGATAACTACTTTTCCTTGTAACTCTTGGCACTATTAGTGTAAAAATGTCCTTCTATATAAATCACGATGCTGTAGCATATTACATGAGGTATTACTGTAACATATTACATGAGTCAAGTGCTAACCTCAGGGTTTTCTGAAGTAACTTTGCTGAAGTGTGCTTAGCCAGGATGACTTCCTGGTGAATGACAAGGCAGTGCTAAAGGTTTTCATTTTTGTTTGAATGCCCTTTTCAATGGTTCACACATAGCCATTTAGAATGTTGAAACCTTTACCCAACATTGAAACATGCCTTTGTCTTTACCAGAATTGATAGCAACATCATGAAAGTAACTTGTTTCTGGGCAAAATAAAAAGTTATAGAAGAGAACAAAATGACAAAGTTATTTCCCTCTAAGAAAAATAGCCATTGATGTGTTATACTATTTCCTAATCTTTTTTACCTGGTACATGGATATTTCCATTTAATATGACTATTTCCTTATGTGTGCCCTTTTACTTTTTTAATTCAAATTTTGGAATACTTTATTAATAAAGTAATATCTTGAGAAAGATAAAAATAACTTCTTGTGAAACAGTGAAAATATTCTGAGCTCCACACATTACAAGCTAAAAGCTTGATATACAGAGAGGCGGGCATCAGAACATTCAGTTACCAAGGATCTGCTTCTTTCTACGTGGAGAGGAGGAAAGTTTCCACACCATCCTCGGGTACCCATGTCGAGTGATGGGGACATCATATTCTTTGGATTCAAGCTAAGCTGCTACTCTGATCCCACCATTTTCACTCACCAAGTGCTGCTAGTTATAATCATGTGACCTTCTGACTGCTGGAATGAACAGTGTCTGCCAGTCAGGGCTCCCCTAGGAAATGAGATGACAAATAGTCAGTATGCGTGGCCCATTGTCTGGATGTGTTAGGCACAAGATACATGATGGAAGAAATATAAGATCTGTATTTATAAAATTTAAGTACACATTGTAGAGAACATCTTACAACCATAATAAATCCAGACAACTCTTAAAATATTTATTTGTGTATTTATTGTTTTCTCTTTTGCTTGCAAAAATATTACTGCCAAAAAGGGAATGGAAAATGATGAGAAAGTGGTCCTGCCTTGCATGTGCTCTCATACAGTGCAGCAGGACCCAGCAAAGTTCACTTCAGTCAAGAAACCCTTCCTGATGGCGCATGACCAGCCTGGATTAGTCAGAGCTCACTGGAGAGCGCCAGGGGACATTTACATTCTAAAGAAGGGTCATGTGGCTTTTAATGAGGTTTGAAACAAATATTTTTACTATACATTTAAAAATTTCAGAACGTAAATACCTTCAGTGAATCCACTTGTGGATGGTGGGTTTTACAGTATAAATTCTGAATGCTTAAATCGCTTTTAAACATACAGTTGTGTGTGTGTTCTGCTGTGCCTTCAAAGCCTGTGATACTGAGTGTGGGAGTGGGGATGTACCACAGTGTAGAGTGCTTACCTAGTGTGCACTAGGCCCTAGGTTTGATCCTCAGAATAGAAAAACAAAACAGGGTGCATGTAAAAGAAGCAGCTTTGAGGCAAAATTCTAATCTGTATTTCCAAATAAGACTGCAAAGTAAGAGGAATCCATTGGTGTCTAATCCTTTTGTATTTTGTTTTGTTTTGTTTTTGTTTGTTTATTTTTAATGTTGTTCATCTTAACAGTTATTCATTCTTTTTAAATATATATTTATTATTTTTTCTCATTTTTACATATCCATCCCAGATCCCTCACTCTCCCACTCCCCCTCGGCCCCCTTTTTGTCCCATTCTCCCCCTCCTCCACTCCTCAGGGAGGGTGATGCCTTCTAGGAGGAATCATCAAAATCTGTCAAGTTATTTGGAGTAGGGTCTCGGCCCTCCCTCCTGCGTCTAGGCAAAGGGAGTATCCCTCCATGGGAAATGTGCTCCCAAAGACCTCTGCGCTTTGCAACCTGGCTCCACTGTCAGAGGTCCCTTAGACTGCTCAGGCCTTCTAACTGAGACCCACGTTCAGGGGTTCTGAGTCAGCACAATGCTAGTTTCCTAGCTATCAGTCTGGGGGTCCATGAGAGTCCCCCTGTTCAGGTCATCTGTCTCTGTGGATTTCTGTAGCCTGTTTTTGACCCCTTTTCTCCCTCTCTGCAACTGGATTCCAGGAGTTCGGCTCATAGCTGTGGGTGTCTGTTTCTGTTTTCATTAGCTACTAGATCAGAGCTCAATGATGGCAGATAAGTTAGATATCAATCTCATTATCAGGGAAGGGTCTCTCTATTGTTTCTCATATTGTTAGTTGAGGTCATCTTTGTTGGTCTCTGGAAATTTCTCTAGAGTCAGTTTTCTCTTAAAACCTGTAATGGCTCCCTCTATTATGGTATCTCTTTCCTTGCTCTCCTCTATTCATCCCCTCGCTCAATCTTCCTGGTCCCACATGTTCTCCTCTCCTCCCCTTCTCATGTCTAATCCTAACCTAGAGGGTGAGAGATAGTAACACATTCTAAATGAGAACACTGGTAGCACAGTGGTAAGTGCTGTAATAGATATCTAAGGGTTATTGGTCAACAAGACACAGGATCTCTCTAAGGAAGTGGTTTTGTGCTTATCTTTTAGGAGAAGTTCAAGTCCACTACTGATCAGAGTATATAGCTCAATGCCATACAGGACAGGAAGTTAAGTGTGTGGCTTTGTGCCCTCGCACAAAGAGGGGCTGGAGGTTAAGCCTGGAGCTACTGGCCTAGAACTGTTTCACTTTTTGAGAAGATGGCATCATTATTTCTATTTCAGAGGAATGTTGAGACTGTAATATAATGAACAGAAGCAGGAGGAGTAGTAGAACCAGTCAATATGAAATAACAGTCTCTGAAGTGCAGAGAATTCATTGAAACTCATCCTTGCTGAAGTCGGGTGTACATAGGAAATTGAGTACAGTCTATTCTAGTTCATCCAGTTGACAGAGTTAACTCTGCCACCTGCAGCAGAAATGGAACAATAGAATAAATTTGTGGTGATAGAGTTAAGTTCTCATTGTGACTCACCTCCACAATGTTGAAGCTCGTCATGCCTCTATGACCAACGCTCCCCAAGCTGCCACCAGCTACCACTGATCTGTATCAGGTTAGATTTGCAGCGATTAAGCTTCATAAAAATGCCACAAGAATGTATATAATTACAAATGTCTATATATCATGTGTTTTATATGTGGTTCTCTTTCAAACTTAGAATGGCTGCAGGTGCTTTGGTGGGCATCACATGAGGAATCCTCAAGCAAACAGAAGCAAACGCTTAGGTCTAGACTGTTCCTGCATTATCTTCGCATCATTATCGCCTGGATTTTTCTCATAAATGGGGAATTTGAAAGGCAGGTTTCCAGACGCAGCCTTGCTACTCTCTCCACATCTGCCTCATCTCAGACAGCGCCTCTCTCCTTGTCTAGGGTCAATGCTCCATTTCCTGCTCTCCCATGAACGAGTTTTCAGATGGGCTCCTCGGGTGGCACAGAGCCTCTCCTAGGGCCCCTCTGAAGGATGAAGGGCTCACTCCATCCTGCCAGTTCAATCTCTTGAAACAGCACCTTTGCCTTTCTTTGCATGACAGCTGGCCCATTGGCAAGACTTTTGAACAAAAGTATCCTAACACTCTAAGAGTTTGAATGTCACCAACCCAGACATTTCGTAAGGTCCTCTACATTGAAAAATGTTTCCACATATATGAAATGGAGGTGATAGCTCTTGCTTAGGTGGCTGAAGGGTCATTCAAACTGTGTGAACGAGCACGTGGAACATGGGAGACATGTATTTAATGTGTTATCTGTTACAGCTCAGCAGGTTACCTTACCCTCAGCAGGTTTCACTCAAATAAGCCCATATGTCCTGTGGCTATTATACTTTGAATATTAAGTGATTACCTGAAAAAATGAGTCACCTGTCTCTTTTATGCCAGCAGTAGCATAAAACTGTCTTGGACATTTACCTAGTGAATATAAAGTTTATCGTGTGTTATTTTTGTGTGTGTGTGTATGTGTGTGTACATATGTGTATGTGCATGTGTTATATTTCTTTTCACCATGTGGGTCCTGGGGATCTTTCTCGCTAAGCCCCTTTACCCACCAAGCCCTACCTTGTGAAATTTTGACTTATTTTTATTTCTACCTTTTATATATTCTCCACACAAAGTGAAACAATGGATTTTCCTCTATGTCATATTTTTTTTAAAAGTAATTCTGACCATGCACTTATGAAAGTTAACGTATCTGTGTGTTTCAGGCTTGCCAGCTCATGGGAAAATGACATCAGTGTCCACCCTTTAACTTTGCCCTCTGCAACCTGCCTGGAGCTACTGCTGATGCTGTCGAGGAACAACGCCTCACTGCCTCTGTCCCTTCGCCAAATGAATTCCTTTCAGGTGAGGAACAGCCCCATGACTAGAATGTTTCTCAAGGATCCTGTCATTCACAGGAAAGAGGGCATGGAGTGCCACAGTTCCAAAGGACAATAATAAGGAGCGTGAGGCATGCACTGCTGTGTTCAGTGTCACGTACAGCCTCAGGATTCCAGAATTATCTAGCTGTGACAGAACCCATAGTTCTCCAACTCTGGGTCCTAACCTCTGAAGGCTTCTCTAGCAGGCCTGAGCTTGACAAACAGTTCCGATCATGGCAAACGTAGTGCTGACAAATATTGCTCGTCCCTGTTTCCCTCTCCTTGCTATAAACCGTTAGGTTACATTCCTACAGCTAGCCCCCAAGGGCTGTTCCCTTATTTGGTCACTGACTTGTTCCTGAGACAAAACACCGAGATCTGACAATGAAAAGCCATTATTTGGCTAATATGTACAATCAGGATTTACCTACTCACTCTAGCAGGCTCCCCTTTTTCTCCTTAAAACCTGCTCCTGTGAAAACCACCTGCACGCTGCTTGCTCCTGCTGCTGTTGCTGCCGCTTGCTGTCTGCCTTTGCTGCTTGGTCCCACCCCCTTTGCCCTTCCGGGAGCTAAATCTTTGTGCTGAGAACTCGGTGTCTGGGTGTGTCCTGTACCGACTCCTAGGGGCCCAAACTGCCTTACAACCTCCATCTTTCCTTTCTCTAAGCTTTGATTGAGAGCAAAAGCATTAATCCATTTTTAGTGGCTTTGATATGATAAGCATGCAGTCAGATGCTGACTGGGTGTTCAGTAGGGATGGAGAACTCACGTTCTTAGCACTGCTCTATCTCCTGAGCGCCCCCTCCCCTTTAACCCTTCTCTCCTCCACAGGTAGTTATTTGTATAGTTCCCTGAGGCTCATGTAGACTGAGCAGCAGGAATACTCCTTCCCTAACAACCAGCAAATTGTCACCCGAGGTGGCAAATGAGACTTGAGAATGAAAATTAACCAATGGCCTGTGTTGTGACCCTAAAGCTACTGAATAAAACTGAGTGTATCTCTCCCTCTTATGACAATAGAAAAATACCCATAAGCCCTCGGGTGCCGAGAAATGAGTGCAGGCAGAGTTGGCAGTTCTAGTGCAGGGAGGGTTGCTGGGGCTGTCAAGAGTGATAGATGTGAAAGTGCTCCTCCACTACGTGGCAAAACAGGAAATGGATCGAAAACAGTTGTCCCAGTGTACTTAATCCGTATTCTCTTGGGAATCGTTATATCAGTCGTCTCTGTGATTTGCTTCTTTTGTCTGAACTTTGGGTGCTGACAAAAAGTTTAGACTCTGACTTTTGCATGCCCGTGTGTCTGTGTTAATCAATCTCAATCCTACACTCTCGAAGGGACTTTAAAGTGTACCCTCTCCTGCAGGAGGGACACTGAGCCAGAAGGCTTAGGTCAGACTGAAGCTGCCCACCCCAACCCCCGACTTGACTGAGTGCTGGCTGAAATGTAGTGAGTGGCGTGAGTATAGGCACAAGCGGGTTGTATCTACTGGGTGTCTGCACACACTCTCTAGTTTTACAATAATATACGATTTATTTTATACCACGTTAACCCGGAAGTAATTTAAAGTTCTGTAACCAGTCCATGTAATGAGTGATATAAACACACATGAGCACACCCTTTTATGGAGAGAGGCATAAGAAATTTAGCAGCTATTTCAGGTGAGCAGCATTTGCATTTTATTTTCTTCTCTCTTGTACCACTTGAGGTTTTTATATCAGGTGATGGTCTCCACTTGTGGCTTTTATGGCATATTGGAGGCGGGGATAGGACAGTCTTTTGCATATGATGTAAACTGAGAATAACCTGAAGTCTTGAAGAGTTAGAGGTACTCTAAGTGGAGGTTGAGGTATTTGAGAGAGGAAATGGATACTTTCTCTCTTTTTACCCTTTAAGAGTGGCATCTCTGCATCATATAAACTCAGATGGAAGGGTATCCTGCCACCAGTGGCATCACTGTGCTCTCAGCGTCCCTAAAGAGAGGAGCCCCCAGAGCTGTGACATCACCAGTGGCCAGGTCCCTCCCAAGGCCACCCTACTTCTATTTTGCTGAGTGATTGTCACAAACATGAGAAATTTGGCACAATCTTACGAACGATGTCTCCTGAAGTGTCATCCCTGTTCTTACCCCAGGAGCCATGGATGATGTGTTCTTACCTGGAGCATTCTGGGAATGGCTCTTTTCAGCAAGCCTTCACACCACAGAAAGCATGAGAGGAAACAGAGAAGGCTTCTGGCAGCGTTGGAGAGAAATGTTCTCCATTTCATCTATCTAACACCTACTCAGTCATTTCTGATCATTGAGAGAGGAGCCACAGTTCTGCCTGCATTTGAGATTGGTTTTAATTAGAAACTCACTTCCCCACACATCCTCTCTAAAGAGCTGTAGAGTGGAATGACACTAGTTCTGACACCTCTCCTTACCTTCTAATTCTCTTACTGCCCGGGCCAATGTAGTGACTGTGAGCAGAGCTGACTTCTCTCTCTTCAGTATAACTTCTCTCTTTTGGTGCAAGTGTCACAACTCTAGCTTCCCCTCTGCTCTGTGACAGCACTTTGCTCTCCCCAGCATGATTTTCTGCAAACAGAATGGAGAATGCATTAAGAATCACTGCACTTTAGTTATTGCGGAGACCCCAAGAAGAGAATGGGCATAACCACTCCCTACTTAGAATTCTCCCATGGGTTCCTGTTGATAAAAAGGACGCAAGCCATAACAACAAGCTGGTTGTAGCCATCGCATCAGTGTACTGGTCGTTTTCCCTGCTGTTAGGAGAGTCCTCTGTGCCAAGTCTGTTAGCATGGCTAGTTCTCTCTGGCTTTCCTTGGTCTCAGCTCATGTGTCCCCTCCCAAAAGAGCTTAACCTGACTCCCTCCCTGAGTTTCCTTCTCCTCATCACCATTATTTTGTAACTCCTCTGCCCTGTGTAATGATTGCATTCATTTCACTTCTTCCTCTACTGAAATGTGTGCCGAGCGAGAGCAGGGGGTGTTATGGTTTGAATGTAAAACAGTCCCAGATGCTCATGTCTTTAGCATTGGGTCTCTGGCTTGTGATACTGTTTTGGAGCCTTTTAGGAAGAGCTGGCATAGCAAAAGTGAGTCACTGGGGGCAGGCCTTTGAAGGCTATGCCTACCCCTGGTTGTAGCTTGCATTCTCAACTTCCTATCTGTTGGGGTGTGAACACTTTGCTACTACACTCTCCTGCTGGCATGAGCCCAACCATGCCTTCTCTATTGTGATGGACCAAGCCTTCTCATGATGAGCCAAGGTAAATCTTCCCTTACAGTTGTCATTTTTATCGGGTATTTTGTCATAGTGATGAGGAAAGTAATTAATACAGGGGAAATGTATGTTTTGTTCAGTTTTGTATCAGCAAAACATAGAGCCCAAACATACAATGCAGTTAAAAAGCACTGGATGGGTGGATGGATGCACAAGTAACATACCAGTCAGCCTGGGCATGGAATAGTCTAGAAACCAAGAAGCCTGGGCTAGAGGGAAGCAGAGCATGAGTAGTATATATCCAGGGCAGAAGTGGCATTCTAGTCTCTGCTTGCTTGGAGCTGGACTCAGCTTGGGTTTGAGGTTTGTCAACCAGCAGAGTACTGTTGAACTGAAATTGTAGCCTAGAGCTTTGCATAAATGACGAAAACATGAAGAGTTCAGTCCATAGAAGAAGGAGCTGGTTGGGGCCAGTTGTAGTGGAGCACACCTTTCATCCCAAGCACTCAGGAAGCAGAAGCAGGTGGATCTCTGTGAGTTTGAGGGTAGCCAGAGCTACATAGTGAAACATAGTGTCTTTAACAAAAACAAAGGTGCTGGTGAGATTCACATTAGTAGAGAGACCTGTTTATAGGACTGAGGTCCTCTAGGCACTGGGACCACATCAAGGGAAATGGGCATGATAGCCAATTTTGGGCACCAGAAACCGAGACAGAGCTTTGAGGGACTCTTGGGGAGTAGGTAAATGCCCACTTGCTGCTGCTAGTGATTCTACCCTGCATGTTCAGAGCTCAGGGGTGAGGCAGCATGAGCCATGTCATGCCCATGCTGATGGGTAGTGCTGACTCCTAGCCTGAAGACCCACGTGTGCTTTATGGTAGGCTGGCTAGTTGAAACCTGAGATTTCCAGAAGGAAGAACTTTAAGAGGAATCAACACTGGGCAAGAATTGAAGGTTTCCATGTGTACATGTTTCTGTCTAGAATTCTAGGCTATGATAACTGGTAGAACTAGTTACTCTAATTATCCTATTCTCACAGATAGGAAAACATGCCCAGAAAAGGTAGGCAATAGTGAGACTAAAATGATGTTCCTTGGTACATACCAAGACCAATCAGAGGCCCAGAAGGTTCCTGGGGAACGCTGAAATCCCACCTGGCACTGCTCCCATTTTTGTCTTAGTTGGGTTTCATAGGCCTTAAACACTGTGTATCATAATCATAGCTTCGCAAAAGTTTGGGAAAGTGTTTGTAACACAAAAGATTGAGCTATCTGGCCAAACTCTGCCTCCCTCCAGACTCCTCTGAGAATGCTTCTTTGGAGCCTATGCTTGGTTGAGAGATACAACCTTGGCCTGATCTGAGGTAGCCATCTTTATCCTTTCCTTTACCCAATTCCTCTCTATGCAGCTCCTCTTGACCATGCATACTTTGTGGAAGGAGTTTCCAAGGGTCATAGGGTCTCATAACTGAAGCTGATGTTCTTCCCCAAGTGGATTGTTGCCTTTTGTAATTTAGAATATTTTCACAAACATTTGCCTTTGAGACAACTCTTTAAAGTAATATGTGGGCAAATACATATATAAAACTATTGATATTCAAAGCTAGTTTTGAATCTAGACCTTCAGATTCTATTATTTATTCTATATTATGATAGTTGCATCAGGAAAAAAAATTGTCAAACAGCCCTAGAAGTTGTACATGTTATATTTGCTATCTGGCAACAACACATTCTTTTTTCTTGGTATCCTACTTAGAC